CATCCACAAAAGAAAAAAAGCAGAAATAAGATCTAGTTGTTTCTTTGTAAATTACTAAACAAACTAAATATCTTTCTTAAGCTAATTTTTATTTTCTTTTGAGATTATCTGATTATAGTTACTAATGTTCACCATTTTCTTTATCAACTTGTAAGAGATTCTTATACATGTCAAACAAAAAAACCATATGCTACATGAACAGCTACATCCCAGGAAGAAGCTTCGCAGTCTTGCACCTGTCCCTTACTCAGTTTGAGACACCTCCACGCCAGGTGATCCCAGGGGAAATAATGATAAATTTATGACTGGTTGGGCAGAAACTCAATTTCTGGTCTTCCAGTTCAGGCCTTTGGGGACTATTTTGATACCGAAGTTCATCGATTGCTCCCTGTGTATTCTTTCTAACACAGATGAATTCAGTGAGAGACACTGCAAAGTAGGCTTACTTCGCCTTCCCTTAAACTCTCCACTGTTCTTCTCTCCCCAACTTTACTTTGAACTTAATAGTACTTATCAGTACTTTATGCTTACCTATTTACATATTTCCCATCTCTCCCTAGAACACGCATAAGACCCGTAAGTGCAAGAGCTTCACTTTATTCCTACTGCCTGACAGCACTAGGCACACAGCATGCCCTCAATAAATATTTGTGGCTAAGTAAATGAATATATAGTTATGAAAAACTATATTCCATACCAATATTAAATGAAAAGGAAGAAGTCTGATGGCAAAATACTGAACTATATTATTGATGTTTCAAAACTGTGTATAATTCCAACCGTAAAGAGATAGGCATTTTGTAAATGTGAGAAATCACTTTTGTTTTATCTTTTATTTATTATTTTTATTTTATGTATATGAGTGTATTGCCTGCATGTATGTTAGTGCTCCTGTGTTATGCAATGCCTGAGGAAGCCAGAAGAGGCTGTCAGAACTCCTGGAACTCGAGTTATGGATGACTGTTAGCTGCCATGTGGGTGCTGGGAATCGAACCTGGGTCCTCTGCAAGAGAAGCCAGTGCTCTTAACTGCTGAGCCATCTCTCCAGCCCCCTTTCTGTCTTTTTGAGATAGGGGCTCCCTGTGGCCCTAGCTGGTCTGGAACTCACTATGGAGACCAGGATGGCCTTGATCTCACTGAAATCTACCTGCCTCTGCCTCCTGAGTGTGAAATCAGTATTAATAAGGAAATTATTTTAACTCCGATCAAGATGATATAGTTTAAGCTTTTATGTTCCGCTGACTTCTAAAATTACACAAAAATGTATTGTCTTAAGAAAATGGTGCAAGTAAAGAAGGAAAATAAAGATGCATTATTGGTAAATAGATTCACAGTTACAAAAGCTGAAGAGAAATATGAACAGAGGAACCAGAGTGAAGCTGTGGAGTGTTGGTTCCCAAAATAGAGTTATGAATGTTCTGGAGAACAAGGGTTCATGTCAGGCTCAGTGACTGTGCACAGTCGTATATAAGGCTCCCTTACCATTGGAAGAATAGCCACTCACAGAGCCTCCCAACCAAGCCACTCTATATAAGAGCCACAGAACTACAGCTCTGAATAGCCACGGTGGAAGACAGCAAGAGGATGAACTTAGGCAATTAGGAAAAACATTTAACATCTTAATAAAAAGAGCCTTAATACTAAAATTCCCCAGTATACACGCACAAAAATGACATCTGAGCAAATCAACAATCAGAATGCCAAAATGTAATTGGGAAGAAATGAATTTTATAAGCCACCCAACAAGGACTTTAAATTGACTTTGATTTAAATTAATTATGATCGTGTTAGTCACTGAGGCAGGTACCTTCAGAACATCCTTCCTTTTATTTCAGATAAGACTTTATAATGAAAATAGAGCATGACTAGAGACATTCCTCCTGTCTTCTTTATCATGGCTGAGCATGCCCAGATGCTCCTGTCTACCATTTTAACCTTTTGGAACTGGTCAAAAAAGCTGACATGGGAGTTCTCAATATTACTTGCAATACCTCATCTACCTTAAAATATATCAAGAACATGCATAATATTAGGTTTAAAACTACCCAAAGTGG